TCCTCACATGTGGTTTAATGGCCCGTACAACCAGTATGGTTATGATGCAGGACTGGATAATGAAGTGACCCTCAACCCCAAAACCTCTCGCTGGAATTATGACTTTGTCTACGAATGGCCAGCAGTGGGACAATTGAATGTCTGGGGTGTGGACAGTAACGGCATTCCGGATAATACAGAAGTCTATGGCGATGTTAGCAACTCCTCTGTTGTTCAAAAGCTTCCTCCATCCTATCTCTCGTCCAATGTGATCAACATCACTAAACTGCCACCGTTCCCGCACCTTGGATGGACCATTTCTCTCGACGATGGAAACATGAGCTACGAGTTAATTCCCATTGGATCCGGATGGGCCCAGCTTGTTCTCTACATTCTTCTTTGGGTTGTTCCCATCCTTATGGGTGCAGCTGGTGTCTACATTTTCATCCGCACTTTCTACCGTGTCAAGCTCAACAAAGATGGTAATGCCATTAAAAATGAGAAGATGCCTTTCCTGTTTTACCGTCGTCTCAGAGAAAGACTTGGTGGAGACAATGAATCCCAGGACAATTTTTCGGAAAACGCCATGCCGACAGATCTCACTGTGGCCGGAGCGGCCGGAGCGGCCGACCAAAAGCGCACAGTCTTGATCGCCACTATGGAGTATGACATCTCAGACTGGAAGATCAAAGTCAAGATTGGCGGTCTGGGAGTCATGGCACAGCTGATGTCCCAGAACCTGAAGCACCAGAATCTCATCTGGGTGGTACCATGTGTTGGTGATATCGAATATCCCGTGGATACGCCAACTGAAGACTTTGTGGTGATGATCCTGGACAAGCCCTACCTGGTTAAAGTGCAATATCACGTCGTGGATAACATCACCTATGTTCTCCTTGATGCTCCGGTCTTCCGACAGCAAACCAAGGCAGAACCATATCCACCCCGCATGGATGACCTCGACAGTGCAATCTACTACTCGGCCTGGAATCAGTGTATTGCGGAGGCAATCAAGCGAAATCCCTCCATTGATCTTTACCACATCAACGATTTCCATGGCTGTCTGGCACCGCTTTACCTGTTGCCGACACGAACTATCCCAGTCTGCCTGTCCCTCCACAATGCCGAATTCCAGGGTCTCTGGGCATTGAGAACCCAGCAAGAGAAGAAGGAGGTCTGTTCAGTTTTCAATCTTCCAGTTGAAACAGCAACTAAATACTGTCAATTTGGCAACGTTTTTAACCTGCTCCACACCGGCGCCAGTTATCTGCGTTTCCACCAGCGCGGCTTCGGTGCAGTGGGTGTTTCCGAGAAGTACGGAAAGCGCTCATGGGCCCGTTATCCAATTTTCTGGAGTCTGGGCAAGATTGGCAGCCTTCCTAACCCAGATCCCTCTGACACAGCGGCCTTGGAGATAAACCCAGACGCGGAAGTTGCGGTTCAGTCTCACGACGAATCCGTCAATGACAAGCTGCAGGCACAAAAATGGGCTGGTTTGAAGGTGGACCCCGATGCTGACTTGCTGGTATTTGTGGGACGATGGTCGAAACAGAAGGGTGTCGACTTGATTGCGGATGTTATGCCGGCAGTCCTGTCTGCCAGACCCCAGGTGCAATTGATCTGTATTGGACCCATCATTGACCTTTATGGCAAGCTTGCTGCTATCAAGTTGGAGCGCATTATGGAAATGTTCCCCGGCCGTGTGTTCTCTAAGCCAGAGTTTACGATCCTTCCCCCCTTCGTGTTCTCCGGTGCCGACTTCGCCTTGATCCCATCTCGAGATGAACCATTCGGGTTGATTGCAGTTGAGTTTGGCCGCAAAGGTGCGCTCGGTATTGGCTCTCGCATCGGAGGTCTAGGCCAGATGCCTGGTTGGTGGTATACCGTGGAATCTGATTCGGCTCGCCATCTCATGCACCAATTGAGGACCGCCATCAAGTCCGCTTTGGACTCATCAGTCGAGACTAGAGCAGAAATGCGTGCAAACTCTGCCAAGCAGCGATTCCCCGTTCTCGAGTGGGTTCAGAAGCTCGAAGTATTGCAACGAACCTCAATCCAAATCCATCACGGAAAGAACCAGCAAACGGTGACAGGCCCACAACCAGAGACCCAGAGTGAATGGGACATGCAGGGTTTGCGATATTCAACCATGATGGGCCCAATGTCACACCATTCAGGAACGGATACGCCACCTGTCAGAACATCGGAGCCCGTTCAGCCCTCTCTTCTTGAGCTCCAGGCGGTCGAGGCTCAAGAAATGCAAGCAGCCGACAACAACAGGAACAACACGCTGGGTCGTCAGCTCTCACTCGGCCGACGTGCTGGACCTGGACAGGAGAGAAAGCGTCTCATCAAGAAGTCTCTACGTGAGAGCCAGATGCTGGAACAGCCGGTCGACGGCGATACCACCGATGCCGAGGAAGACGGTGCTGCTACGTCGCAAGAGGACCACATCTCTCATGAAGAGGCTATGGCAGCCGTCAATTCCAGTCTCATATCTCAAAATCTCAGTCCTACCAATAGGAATTTTAGCCGTCAGTCTCGCGGTGAGTCTACCGTTTCAACAGATCCCTCCCGCTTCGTGTCCCGCGACTCTTCTCCAGTCAGATCACCCGATCCCGCCTATGACCCTAGTTTTGGAAGAGTCGCTCCCTGGGTTCACAGTCGTAATGTATCTGTTCTCTCCTTGCCTTCTGTCGTCGCCGACCATGATCAACCGGTTTTCCATTTGCAAAAGGTCGACCCGACCTTCACAGACAGCATGGGGCATTTCACGCGACGTTTCGAGCAGCTTCTCACCAACCTCAACAAGAAAAACTCGAGCACAGATTACTGTATCGAAGTTTACCTGATGAAGAGTGAGCGCAAGTTTTTCAACATGTACACCGACGCACAATTGAAAAAGCACCCGAAAGAGCGTCCTATGACTGGAGCCGGCTTGGATCACGCTGTCGAAATGACACCCTACAACCGCGTCACAGACGCCTCCGAAGATTCGGAAACAAATGACACAGATGAAATCGATCAGTGGCTCGCTCGTCTGGGCTACAAAAGACCCATGGCTATCCAGAGATTCATGAGATGGCGCGTCGGAAATTGGCCTGTCTACTCCCTGTTCTTGGGTCTCGGACAGATCATCGCAACGAACTCGGCACAGATCACCCTGTTGACCGGCCAAGTGGGCGAGACCGCAACTAAACTCTACATTATCGCGGCAATTTACTGCGTCTCTTCTATCGTTTGGTGGTTCCTCTTTTTCCGCTTCCCGTCGGTGACAGTTCTCACCGTCCCATGGTTCATTTATTCCATTGCGTTCATCATCATCGGTGTATCGCCGTTTGGTCTTACGCCTCTCGGTCGAGAATGGGCACAAAATGTTGCCGCGGGCGTCTATGCCGCTGCATCTTCGAGCGGTTCCTTGTTCTTTGCCCTTAACTTTGGTGATCAAGGTGCAGTCCCTGTGAAAGATTGGATGTTCCGCGCCAGTCTCATCCAGGGTATCTCGCAACTTTACACCGTGGCTTTGTGGTACTGGAGCTCTAGGGTCACTGCGGTGCAAGTCGGAGGTGTTTCTACACTTGCTTTGAGCTCGTGGAGAGTCGCAGCTGTGGTCATGCCTATTGCCCTTGTGTGCTTCATTATCGGTGTGCTTCTTGCTTTAGGATTGCCCAAGTACTATCGTCAAGCCCCTGGCAAGATCCTCTTCTTCTACACTTCCCTCTTCCGTCGACGCATTGTCCTCTGGTTCTTCTTCATGGTCATTGTCCAGAACTGGTTCCTCGCCGCGGCGACTGGTCGCAATTGGTCATTCCTCTGGTCCTCCCAACACACCAAGACATGGGAGGTCGTGGTAATAGTGGTAGCATTTTTCATCGTTCTTTGGATCGCTCTGATGTTTTTGTTCAAGATCTTGTCCAAAGAGCATAGTTGGATTCTACCCGTCTTCGGTCTCAGCATTGGTGCACCTCGGTGGGCGCAAACGTGGTGGGGAACATCTGATATTGGATACTACCTCCCATGGGCTGGAAGTCTGACATCTGGTGCCATCGCGTCCCGATGTCTCTGGCTCTGGCTTGGCGTTCTCGATGAGATCCAGCAAGTCGGCTTGGGAATGATTCTTCTACAGACTTTGACAAGAGTGCACGTCTGCTTTGTCCTACTGGCCGCTCAGTCCATTGGATCGATTGCCACAATCTGTGCTCGTGGATTTGCGCCCAACAAGGTCGGACCGGCAGGCATTTCTCCAGCTGTGGGCACAGGATTGGATAAACTTGGTAATGCGTGGTTCTGGATTGCCCTCTTCTTCCAGCTTCTGGCTAGGTAAGTTATTATTGTCCTTCTCTATTCCTCGCCACTATACTGACTTTTTTTTTTTTTTTTTCCAGCTTCGGTTTCCTTCTGTTCTATCGCCGCGAGCAGTTAAATCGACCCTAATTCATGGATCAAATTTAGCATAATAGACTGAGCACATTTTGTATAATAATCAATCTTTGAGATGCCTTTTTGGAGAACCTGCGTGGCCGTTTGTTGTAATAGGTGTATATATATGATATACGGACAGTCTCGCTAAAGAACAATTATACCAAGTAAGCATTCACCGAGATGAAAAAGATCCTGGTTCAGAAAATTCATAGAAAGGATCCCATCACCATTCTGTTTTTTGCATTTCACCATATTTTTCGTTTTCTATCTTCTACATCCACACCTCGTGGATCTTGAGGGTTCCAGGATTTTTGGCAATAAAGAGTGAGCACACCCTTTACAATTACTTCAGCTAACATTCGACTGACCAAGTCCCTGGATAGTGGCCGCCCTGGTTCACGAACTGACTCCTGGCAGAGTGAGCCAGCCCAGTTAGAGTAGACATCGCCAAAACCCAACTAGAATGAAAAGTACTTTTTTTTTTTTTTTCGTATTCCTTCTAGGCCATTATTATAATCTCCACAGGTTCAATATCTCTACCAAACATTATAAAATGCTGCAGTTAAAACATACATATATACATATATAATTTATTGGTACCCCTTCTTCTCCCCCTCTCCCTTTCCTTGCCAGCTAGACGCCTTACTAACAGCTGACAAGTATCATATCTATTCCAATCTATTCTGGACTCGTAATAGATCTGGGTGATTGCACAAATGAATAAGAGGCGTTAGCAGCCAGAAGGAAGGACGCTTTGCCAGTCACTTTGGGATCCGGGCCGATAAAGTTGCTTGGGAAGCCAACATCAAAGGGGTTCTGGCTCTCGAGGTATTCAATTTGCTCCGCCGTCAACTGTAGATTAAGCGCCTGGATGTTTTCCATGAGGTGGTTGACTTTGCGACCGCCAATAAGTGGGAACACATTTGGTGCTTTCGCCATAACATATGCCAGGGCAACTGCGGTGAGCGACTTGATCCCGTGTTCGTTGGCCACCCTTTCAAGTGCTGCACTCATTGCCGCTTCTTCTGCACTTTGGTCCGGACTCAGAATGCTGCGGAGACCCTCTCCCCGAGCTTTGCGCTGTTCAATCTCCTCCTTTGTTTTAAATTTCCCCCCTCCCATGACATCCCATGGAGCAAGTGCCATTCCAAAGTGGCGCACCATCGGGATAATTTCTCTTTCGAAGTCACGGAGCATGACATTCCATCGGCCTTGGTAGATGCTGAAAGGAGTCTTTCCGTGGGCGCGAGCATACAAATTTGCCGCGGTCACAATCCACGCTGGTGTGTCCGAAATGCCCAAGTAAAGCACCTTACCCTGCTCTACCAGGATTTGAAGACTGTCCATAACTTCTTCAACTGAAGTAGTTTGATCCCACCAGTGGACATACAAGATATCAATCCAGTCGGTTTGCAGCTTCTTCAGAGAATCCCGAACACTCATATGGAGGCTTCGCTTGTGATTGCCGCAATGGTTTGGGGCATTTCCCTTGCCCAACTTGTACGACCGAAAGTCCGTTGTGAATTTGGTGGCAATTACCAATTGATCGCGGTTCCTGCGCTGGGCCATCCATTCCCCGATCCAGGTTTCCGATTGTTCATCCTGGTAATTATTTGCGGTATCGATGAAGTTCCCGCCCGCTTCGAAGAATGCATCAAGGAGTCTAAAAGACTCCTCCTTGCTCATAGAACCCATAGAGTCTGCCCACGCATCGCCAATGGACATGGCTCCGAGCTGAAGCGGCGAGACACGAATCCCAGCGGTGGAAGAGAGAATGCGGTAGCGTCCCAATTCGGTGGTGGGTTCAGGAGCAGGTGTCCAAAGGTGCGACATGATGAATATTGAGGATTGTAGCAAGCGGGACAAAGATAGGAGAGTAATAACAGGCTTGTCTCAGTCTCTGCACAAAAAAAGTTTTCGTTTTCTTTAACTCTCTCCTGCGTACCCGCCCTTATTATAGTCTTTTACTGGCCTTCTTCTTTGCCGGAACAAACGGGGTACTACAAGTATCTCACCAACTTTGGTAGGCTCCCACAAATTAGAACTCATTAATGTTGCAGTGGGTCATTGTGCTCCGCTTGTCACCAGGCTGCATTAGCGTCCCTTTAGGTGCCGTGGATCCGGCAGAACTGTTAATCAGAGCATGCCAGGGCTTCATCAAGCCAATCTTCTTTTAGTAAGTAGTTTTCAGAGAATAGGTAGAGCAGACTAATGATAACCAGAAAAACCCAGATTCTACAGTATTCCATAGTAGCTGAGAAATTGTTTGTTTTTGTTGTATCTGAGCACATCGTGTGAGTTATTATTATCAAATTCTATCAGGCTAGACAGGTCAGTATTCTGAGAACCCACTTAGGCTGTCATCAACTTGCGTATTACGAATGCTGAGCTGATGAATAATGTGATGTAGATGACAGCCAATAACATACTGGGCAAAGTCATAGAATCGGCAGCATGTACGTGTTAGGATTCGCAAATTTGTATATTAATCAAATGATTGTTTAATTAGTGGTATAGCAAACTACTTCCATAAATCTCTCACGTAGACTCGTCGTTTACTACGCCACCGGTCCATTACCTCTCAATATCAATGACTGCTTGCTTCTGACTGAAATTGTAGCGAACTTCTTTTTGCCGTTTCTCTTGAAGACGCCGCCGAGTATTTCGGACGTTTCGTTCATAGCTTTCTAGCATCGTCCGCAATATGCGATTATCGGATCGGCCGCACCGGTTTCCAGTTCGACTTGCCATCGGATGGCAGCCTCATGATTCTGATCCATTGATGCACGATTGACATCAGTGAGATGTCGCGGCCTTCGCTTGTCAATTCAGCGGCTCATCCATCTGTCTTCTCTTGAGAACTTTTCATTTGAAGTTATTCTGCACATGGTATCCTGCAATCTAGTGTGTCTCCAAGGCCGGTAATGTTCGATAAAGGTTTTGCTACTTGAATGTTAGTTGGGGCTCACTCTTTGCCCGTCATGAGTTGATTCCTCAACAAATATTTTGCCCAATTTTGTTTCTGGCCCTGTTCATTCCTCCAGGTATTTTCGACCCGTATCAGGCTTGATGGTGGATTGGGATTGCTGCAGAACAAAGAAAAGCAAGGAAAAGTGAAAGAGATCATAGATGTCCGCCTTGCCCATTTCCACGCATACATTGACAAATTGATTCTTCTATTTTCTTCAGAGTATTTTGCAATGTTTCGGTCATTTCATGCCGCAACCACCATATATCCTCGGTCACTAGGGGTGGGGTAGATGCCCGTCTCCAAGCCGGCTCTATTGTATCAATCCACCAGTCAGTAATTTTTAACTGATCAATGCAATGATTTTCTACCAGACATGGCCAAATGACCTTTGAGGGGCGCGCACAAGTTATCCATATTTACAGTAGCAAAGGCAGGAAATGAAGAGGAGGGGGAGATAACCAAAGAAACAAGGACAAGGTAGAACAAAAAAAAAATCAATGAGACGGGATTGTTTGCTAAGGTTGTAAACTCTCATTAAATTTATCCCCATGTAACATTTGTAGCACAAACTCCAAACTCCAGGTGGATTAATATCCCAGAAAAAGATTTGAAAATCTGGTAACAGCCTTAGCATTTCAGATTTTGAGGTCGATGCTTCTGCTGATGTCAAAGAAAAAATCTTGTTAGCCCAACATATACTGAGCTATAGGAACCTTTATTGAAATTGGCATAGACGCTTTAGGACCCTCAACGTGCAAAAGGTGGAAAAGCTGGCTGCTGTCCTGGTTCCTCTTTCAGCAAGGTATTAGCTGGACGTTCCGGAAGGCCATTATCAGTGCAAATCCAACTGCTCGTATCTTTGCGTACACAAACACTCGGGAGAAGACACCGACAGCGTACATAGATACTGTTATCTTGACTCCGGTGGCAGATATCCTTGACGCGCAGGTGTTAAATTGGTAGGCGATAAGCACACTGATTTTATTTTTGGCTTGGTGGTCTTGTAGGCGAAGCAGAAGCGATACGACCGAAAATACAGGGGAGCATAGGAGACAAAAAGCTACTAAATTTCTGAGGAGAGATCCTAGCTGACGGGAGCAAATGTGACAGGTTTCTAGTAAAGAGGGACATGGGAAAGAAGGGGCATCGTGGATTCATACGATCGAACAGCATGAGGACAGTCACTGGATGGATGAAACGGTGAGCAACTCCTGGGACATTAATCCTACCATATTGTGAAGTTTATTGTCTGACTTTCTTCCGTTTCAGATGTGGGGATTTGAGTTGATCGATGGAGAGCCATATCATACTCGTCGAGTTATAACGATAAAAAACAAGACCGGCCGATACAAGCTGTTGCAGATAGTATGCCTGTTCATAAAATGAGACGCAATTTGTTTTGCACTTCATTATCACTCATGTTTGGTGACTTAACGTACTTCCCTACCAAGTGTCGCGCCTGACGGAGCAGCGCACTTTTTGCATTTTTTCTTGTCTTCAATCAGTTAAACGGTTTAAACCACTACTATTCTATCAAAAATGCCTCCAAAGCCCCAGAATTCAACTGTGTAAGAGGGAGTGTCCTACTAGCAAAATCTGTTCAAAAAAAAAAAAAAAAAAAACCTTAAATTAAGACTGTACAGCAAGCAGCATACTACTTTCGGGTTCCTGAAACAACCATCTGACGACTCCACAGTATAACCACACACGATTTGAAAAGCGCGCCAGTGGACATAGATCGACTAAAAATGGAGATAAATCACTTTAGTATGGAAACTCTATGAACCGACATGGTGCAGCCCTCCCGACCATCTCATGGTCAATATATGGCCAATATTCTCCTTTCACAGCATGGTTCTGCCAATACTCAACCTGTTGGTAGGAACTAAGTATCCAGCTTTATTAAACACCATAATGAGACCAAGACCAGTTATTCTCGACGATATAATTAGCAACGAGCCAAATGTGACGATCCAAAGATCATCAGAGTCGGTGCCCCTGATCTTCAGCTATTAGTATCTGCTTCTTCGACTTAAATACCCTCCGATGCCCGCTCGTTCTGCATTCTGTAGACCATTTACTTCTTCCCATCAATAAAACCCAATCCAAGCAACCGCTCCGAATCCGACCAAAATGAAGACCACCATCCTTTTTACTAGAGTGTCACGGACGGCCCCGTGACCCCGCCCCGAACCCGCCCCAAAGCCCGCTGGGCCGGGGTTTGGGGCAGAGGTGCTCGCCCCGCCCTGGGTTTGGGGCAGAGATGCCCGCCCCGCTGATTTTTGGGGCGCCCCGTTGGGGCGGGCTGAGTTGGGGCAGCGGGGTTTGGGGGTGGCCCAGGGCCCGGTTAAGCCCCATTACAGAGCCAAACATATAGTATTGTA